TCCTTGGAGGACAACAACGAGGAGCTCATTTCGGTTAGATCATCAACAAGCCTGTACATTTTGTCAGCCGACCAATAGCGTGGCGTAAACTTTCATGAGAGAACCTCATACTTCACACAAAACACATGCGCTCGGATGCCCTCTAACGGTACTCTTGGCACCCCCGTCTCCGACCTGTAGGCAAAGGCTTCGGCTGTTACCTTCACGACGTTCCCGTAGATGTTGGGGGGGCACATGATCTTGTGCTCCGTGATGAGCTCGTTCTCGTACACAGTACCGAAGATGTCGCCGCCCGTGATTGGCTGGTGTTGTGGTTGGTAGTCCATAGGAGAAAATGGACGACATGGGACGCCATGAGTGGGTGGGTGATTTCAACTCTCGAAACCGCGCGCGAATGAGAGCCCACGTGGTGCGGAATCACCGCTGAGGTCGTTCCGCATGCTTGAATTGTTGACAACAACACTTGCCACTCTGGGAAATAAATATTTCCGACGTGATCCACGAAATCATCTCCACTTGCAAGCGTCGACAAAGCGCAAGCAATGGTGACCAACACCCGGCGTTCCGTTTCACTGCATCTGGAACGTCACAACAAACATCCACTCGCGACCTCCAACAACCCACGCGAAACAACGACCACCCCGGTGCGCACGCGTGTTTGTCACAGTCAGCACGCAGTGAAGAAAATCCTGCACACAGCAGCGGAGGCCCTTTCATTTCTTGGCGTAGGCACCCACACAACTAAGATGGCTACAGCAGCAGCCTTCTTCACCTGGCCCTCCTTAAAGTTGCACGGCTTGAACTCCCAGTCCTTGTCCTGGTCGAGGCAGGGCACGTCCACACCCCTGGGGACGAACACCGACCCCTCGCGGCCCGCGATGTCCTCCAGCGGACGCTGAGAAAACCACAAACGCCAGCCAGGATGGGGAAGAAAGTGCGGACCGCCCGAGAGAGAAAGAGTTCTCGTACAGACCGCAACACACACAAATTTCAAAGATAACAACACCGGTTTGCGTGCACGTGTAGTGATACTGACACTGCTTTAGACTAGATCGCAGCCAAACTCAAGAGTAGTCGAACGCGCGCCTCACGACACGGCGGAGAGCTCAGCATCGAAAGGGAACACAAAGGCTCGAAAGGTGTCCTACTTAACCTATGTACAAGCACATCCAGGAGTACCACCCTCCATCTCAGATGTCACCATTGGTACAACCGGGTCCTAGTTCGACGGAAAACAGGGTAGATAGCGCCATTAACTTTCCATGTTTCTACATGACCATGACAACGTAGCGAGAAATAAAAGCACCCACCGACACACCATACGGGATTTCGGAAACCCATCTTCTGATTATATCTACTAGCTCGCTCGCTCGCTCGCGCGTACCTGGATTCCGTCGAAGATGGTGCCCATGATACCGGGGCCGAGCTCGACAGACAACGGCTGCCGGCGCCGCAGGACGGGGTCGCCAACGGTAAGCCCCGAGGTGTCCTCGTACACCTTGACCGAAAAGGGGATAATGAGAAAAAAGCAAGGAAAAGGAAGCCAAGATCAGAAAAACCACAACAACACAGGTGGGACGCGCTATCGTGGCCACCGTTTGCATGTTCCTAAGGGCCGCAAGGGCTGTGGGAGGTTACCTAGGTCGAACTCTTGTCAAAAAAAAAAATGGAGGTATTTATCCTCCTTTATCCACGCGACTATTGCCAGACTCCACGGTTGCCGTTCATGTCAACTGTCAACTGCACGCCGCAGGCCACTGCAGAAGACTGGCCGGGCCTCTACGACAGTTTTCGGCGCACGCGAGCCACCTTCTCGGGCCTCTCCGCAGGACCAAACTTGGCTGCACTCCACCAGACGATGTGAATGACCAACACCAACAACCCTCCTCGCCCCTAATCCCTGTTTGCCGCATCGTGCGCTCACGTATCCAAGCATAAAACAGCCGCTCTCAAGCTAACAACCACCGAGTAAGGAAAAGAGAAATGGGATGAGGGGGGGGAATCAACCCACCCCCACTCTTCGATGGCCGTAGGATTGCCGCGTGGTGTCACTCAAGGACGCCTCATACTAGCCCACAACAATAAAAAGCGGCGCTCTTCGAGATAGCTTTGGCGTGTTGTGCCCAGATCTGAGTGCCGCTTTACGTTAATAGGCCACCCCATGTTGTGTGGGGATTGCCCACTCGACGCCTTTTCGTAGGCGTGGAAGACGCCACACAACTCGTCATCCAGAGCGACGAACTCTGGTGAACTTTGCCCTGGAGTCACAGAACGCAAAACACCAACTCATCGAACTCCCAACGGCGTTGCCAAAACTCCTGACAGAATGTAGTGGGGTACACACCAATCAGGACGGGGACAATATGCTCTATACACGAAAAGCTTCTTGTCGAAACCAGCCATGCTGTAAAAAACGACTGTTCTCTGCATAGCCATTGCCCGCATGAGCGGACGGACCTCCTTTTGGTTCCCGCAAAAAATGCTGCCAAGGTTAGGTTGTACACCTGCTCGTCGGCGACAGCAGCCGGCTGGCCGCGTGAAGCGGAACTGCTGCTGTGACAAGACCCGGCATCTTCAACACTGCCACTTCCGCGGGGTACCGCAAGGTTGCGAGTCATCGTACTGTCCGGAGTCATCGCACCCCGTGCGATAAAAAATAAATGGCTGAATGATGTACTTCGATTTCCGCACAGGGTCCGGAGTCACCGCACAGGGGGCAATTTTGACCCCTGCAACAATGCCAATGCTGGCATGTTAGCTTTACAGAATGGGTATGTCATCGTCGCACACCACACACAAACACGCACGTGGAGGTACAAAGGAAACGAAAAAAAATGGCATTCCGTTAGATCGGCAAACTTGAACATTGTCCATCCAATCAAAACACCAGAAAGAAAAACCGCAGCAATAAGCCAAAACAACCAAAAGCACTAGTAACCGTACTTAAAACCTCCGACGTGATTGCCAAGCGTTTGTGTGTCGCGTGCGGGCACAACTCGACGGCGGTAAATTATAAAATTATGTGTTCCGCCCGCGGGGCTTCGAATTTCGTCGCGTTTAATTTCGCCGCATGATGTGTGTGTGTGTGTTTCAAATTAGCATCGACCGCGATAACCGGCTGTGTGTGTGTCTTTCTTCTTAGCATCCACCGCCCTACGCGGCTGACCAATGAAAACACGTCAGCCTCAGCGCGGTTGAAAACACGAAACACTAAATGCCATGAACTGGGACCCCATGAGGGGAAGGCATTGGGGAGGCTAAGCTATTCTCCGGATTTGTGTGTGTGTCCTTTCTCAGCCTAGCATCCACCAGGCTAACTGCTGTTGAGGATGTGCAGGTGTGTGTACGTTTGCGTGTGGAGCCTGCAACCCCAGCACAACTGAGGTGTCCGTGCGTCTACAAAAAAATTCGAATACCGCACATACCGGAGTCATCGCAGAGGAGTGTGCGTTATAAATCAAAGACAACTGATTTGATTCGATGTCCGCACAGGTTCCGGAGTCCGGAGTCATGGCACCACTGTGCGATGACTCGCAACCATACGGTATGTATTCTACAGACCTGAATCGAGGCAGTGTCGCCCTCGAGCCTGATGATCTCCCCCACCAGCTTCTGGTGCCCCACCCTCACGAGCTCGTACATGGCAGCCCCTGACATGCTCTCGGCGATGACCACTGCAAACAGCCGAAAAGGTGTGTAGGTAAATCGTACGTAAGTTACATCACCATCTTTACACACGTACAGCGGCAAGTGACAATGGCAGCAAAAGGGGCGCGCGTTGGCCCAACGAAGGTGGACATAATACTACATGCATCTCGGTGCCCCGGAAGGTATTGAGAGAGACCAAGGGCGCATACGGCCAAGCACTGTGTAGTCAGCAGCGACAGCAGCAGCAGCAGCAGCAGCAGCAGCAGCAGCAGGAGGAGGAGGAGGAGACTCTTGTGCCAATGCGTGAATGAGAACAAGTAAGCCTGTCCTGCACAAGCATCGCTGGCAAAATAACATGGACGTCAAGTTGGACAGCATCACCGTCAACAACAGCATGCCCATGTCAGAGGCCACAGAAGAAATGATAGCAGCCCGTGCATTTCGCATAGAGAAAGACGGCTCGAGTCATGCGGTGTCGGTTCTGCTGCTGGGTGTAGTACTAGCCGGGAAGTAATTTAGCAGACTATTGCTGAAGTATCACACACAGCAGGGCCAAGTACCAGTCAGTGTGTATTTCGATTTTCCGCAGAATCTCTTCTATCCGCGCACAAAAAGAATCACTCAAAACAGCCTGTTGGGGACACAGCACGCACAACCTTTCCTACGCATAGTGATTGCATCATAGCTAAGCCCTTCTCTTCACAACGAACAGCGCTCACGAACCCCAAGGGAGGACCTCTGCCCCCCGTCTTGCTGGGCAGAAGGCATACAGTACCTGGCACCAACACAGCTACACTGCTGCTATGCTGCTGCAAACTCACGAGGTCCAGAAACACGCAGCACATAGCCGAAGTCCGACTCCACGAGCCCATCGTCGATCACCAGGCCAGCCATTTCGACTCCTCTGTTTCCTTCTCTAGGCAGAGATGGTGGGTCAAGTGGTGCTGTCTGCTACCCTGCCGTTGTGGTGCCGTGATCGCCTGCCTGCTCTGCTCGGGTTCCGTTCTGGGGGCACTTCAGATGGCAGACCTCCTGGACCCCACCCCCGTGCACCAGGGCGCCAGGGTGGGGGCGGGGGGGCGGGGATCTTCAGCCTCCGCTTGTGTTTTTCCACATCTGGCGTCTGGCGCCCAGTTGTTCACAGCGAAGTCAATATAACTGCAGGGTGATGGTACTTAAATTATGCACAACAGTATGGGTCGATGAGCCTGACACCAGACGACAGCTTTCGGTGGCTGAACACATGTCGACGTGCCCCGGCCGAGAAATATTCGGCTTGGAAACCCGCACTACTGCCGTAGTCGACTCCACGAGGCCCCCTATCAGCTTCTGCCACATGTCTCCTCTGCCACTGCAGACTGCACAGCAGTTGACGGCTGTCTCTGCCGCCGCAGCTTGGTCAATCATTAACCCCCATGCCTTCTACAGATGCGGGAGAGAAAGACGCAACGCCAGTGGTGGAAATCAAGCGTCTGGACCCGGGCGTCGTCAACAGGACGCGCGAGTATCCAGGTCTGCCCAGAGGAACAAATGTTCTTGTCACCGCAGGAGGCGCCGTCTCCGCAGCAACCGTATCCCTGCTCGAGTCTGCCGGGTGCACTGTGACGGTCCTAGGCGTCGCTCGTGCCGCATCTGCCCCACCAAACTGCAACCTTATCGAGGGAAGCGCGTTGAGTAGAGAATCCTGTGCTATCGCGGTCGCTGGTCAGGACGTGGTGGTGCATGCCGGTAGGCCTTCCAGTCCAAGAGCGGTAGCGGAAGCGACGAAAAACCTGCTCCAGGCCGCGGCTGCGGCAAGCGTTAAGGGTTTCGTCTACGCGAGCTCCGCCAGGTGACATTACGGCGGTGGTGTTTTGAGCAGCTGCTGCCTTTGCCGCTCCTTAGCGTTGAAACTGCGTGTGGTCGCGATAGTGTGGTACAGGTGTTTAGCATGACTCGGGTATCAACGTCCGGACGTTCACCGTTCGACTCATGCCTGCTCTGTCGAGGGTGCTGGTGTTGAATCGTTTACATTGCTCGCCCAACCTTGCTACTTCAATCCGCTTTTTGTGCTTGGGTTTGGTATGTGCAGGTGGCCATCCTCCTGGCCCTGCACGTTATTCCGAAGTGTGACAATAGCAGTAGAGGTCGCTGTTTGGCATCGACCGGTCACACGCCGTTAGCAGCAGTTGGGTAAACGCTCACCTCTAACGCTAACCCTACGTAGCGATACAGCGATACAGTATGGGTCGTACCCCCAACACCCCCCGTTACTGCCACGCCTTCCCCCATGGCTAAAGTCCTTTCCCACCACCCCTCACCCCCGATATAAACCGATGGTCGTTGTCCCGCAGCGTGTTGTTTGGAGGACAAGACCTGAAACAAATTTCAGAGGACGCGCCGTATCCCAGCCGTTTCGCCGACCCATCCGCAGCCTACATCGCCGAGGCAGAGAAGGCGGTACTCGAGGCCAACGCTGACAGTAGCAGAAGTAGCACAATGCTGACGTGCAGTGTCCGAGCGGCCCCCTCGTACGGTGCGGCGGACGAAGGAGAAGAGGCTTCCTCGGAGGACCGCCTAATTCCCGGGTTGGCCTTCCGCGCCAGGGCAGGGGTCCGTCCCGTGGGCGACGGGAACAACGCGGTGGATTTCGTCTACGCTGGCAACGTGGCGCATGCGCTGCTCCTGGCGGCGCAGTCTATGCTGCAGGCGTCTTTAGCAACGGCAGCAACACCGCCGCCGCCGCCGCCGGCTGTGGCGGGACGGGCGTTCCACGTTACGGACATGGAACCGGTTCCGTACGGAGAGTTCGCCGCCCGCGCCCTCTCCCGCCTGGGTTACCCCGACGGCGCTGGGTCGGGAGGGATGTCGGTGCTGCTCGCGACCGCCCTGGCGCTTTTGCTCCGGGTGCTGGCGCTTGTCGTGTCGCCCGTCTTCGAGTTCCGGCCGGCGTTGACGGCCCTACGGGTTGCGGAGGAGAGCGCGGTTCGAAGGCTGGACACTTCGAGAGCGAGGGAGGGCCTCGGGTACACGCCACTGTGGAGTCAAGAGGTGCGTATTTGTTCGTTTCGCCGGGGGGGGGGGAGAGCTGCGAGGCGTGATATTCGTTGCTCGCCGGTAGTCTGTCGACAACAACGGGCTGAGGTTCCGTTGTGATTGGTTTGTGGTGGAGCTTCGTTCGGGCGGGCGATCTCCTGGAAGGGCGAGGCGGCGTTGTTGACTACGGCTACCGTAGGTGACATGACGCACGGTATCACACCCCTTGGATCGGTTTTCAAAGCTCGATCACTCCACAGAACAAAGAGTGGCGGCGCCGACAATGGCGGCATCGGAACCGGCTCGTCGGGAGCTCTGCGGAAATATTACGCATGAGTCACATCACCTTGGTCGTGGAGGAATCGAGCTTCTAGCAATCGGTCCAGGGGGCGTGACGTCTTGTGCCACCTATGGTATCGATGTGCGGGCTGGTTGGTCACTCCATTATCCCATATATTCAACGCAGGGTAACCGAGATGTTGTACGAGCTATGCATATCTACATCGTAGACGGCGAGGGAATAGGAGAGACTTGTAAATTCCGAAGACAACAACAGGTAACCAGGGTGTTCGCTTCTACCGTCCTTGTGATTATAACGTCCTGTGAAACGGGGGTGCGGTGAAAGATGCGCCTTGCGCTCTGGCCTTCAATTGTAGTAGTGCCATCCACAATCATCCGTGTACATTGGCGTCGACGATCCCGTCTTGACCGACTTTCACCGTCGAAGACTTGATCATTTTTTTCTCTTTTCCTGTCCCTTCGTTGTAGGAGGGTTTGGACATCACCTTGCACGGAGCAACGGCGCTCAGGAATCCCAGGGCCAAGTTAAAGCACATCGGGCCTTTTACGGCTGAGGAGGTAGCTCGTCACTCCTCCGAAGACGACGCGTGGATCATTGTCGATGGAAAGGTGCGGCGGATAATGCCTTTTTGGAGCGCCCTGCGAGACGCTACACAGAACCGGCAGAGTCTGATTTATAGCCGATGGTTTTGCTGTTTGTCGAGCCCACTACTTGAGGATTGGTGGGCAACTCCTCGACGACTTTCGTCGGCGTTGCCTGTCTGAAGCTGAAGCTACCCTTGTTACTTTTACGGAAAGCCGCAACTGCTTGCTACGGTATGTAATACAGTCGAGCACGAGACGCAGCAAGAACAATGTGCCTGAAGAATGAAGGCGTCCAGACCCCAATAAAGATCTTGCAACTAATATGGTGCCGACGATGACAAGGCCAAAGAACTAAACCCGAAGAAAACCTACGATGACAGGATACAAAAGATCAAGTATTCGCGAAAGAATCGCCCGAAAAAGCGCTCGCGCTGGGTATGACCGTGCCGACGTCGTCCTCCATGGTGTGATGAGGGTGATGGGGGTGGGCAAGCCGCAGTGCTCATACTGCACCAGGTGCGCCTACACCAAGGAGGCGGACATCAATATCGACGCCCAGGAATTCTCCGAGATCAGGCGCCTGGAGCACATGAACCGCGGGACGCCCAGCACGCCCAGCAAGGTTAAGGTTTCCACCCCGATGAAGCGCCAGCGGAGCGACCGTTGGCGCTTGATCGGGGTGAAAACCGTGATGGGCGTGATGGGCGTCCTGCCGTTCATCGCTCGTGGCGCTTGATTTCTGGGCGTCGATATTGATGTCCGCCCTCTTGGTCTAGGCGCACCCAGTATTATAGTAGTGCTGTGACTTGCCCACCCTCATCACATCATGGAGGACGACGTCGGCACGGTCGTACCCAGCGCAAGGGGCGGTGTTGTCCTCGGGAACTTGTCTGCCGGCACACTTGGACCCATCCCCGTGGATGTAGTGGATCTGCACCAATAGGGCAAGACAGGAAATTAGTTCTTGTTTGGACAACATGGGGTGGTTATCGAGCATTGAGCGGACGGCAACAACAATGGAAAATGAAAAGAAACGGACCACATGGGGTGGTTATCGAAAGGAACGGGAAACGAAAACTGGAATTGCAGCAACCGGGAAACCACAAACCACAGGATAAGACGTACCTTTTGGGTACTGTCACCATTCGTTTTGCCGGTGGGATCCGAGAGCCGGAAGTACTAGACACCCCGGCCGATATCAGTCCGGCAGAAGAAACACACGAAGGGTCGGGAGTTCCTGCCTCCAGTCGGCTTCGGCTGGCTGAGCGACACATGCATGTCGCACGCGTTGTTTCTGCCGTGCAAGGGGTTTTGCGATGGTTTCAAAAAGGCGGGCTGATACGAGCCTCAAATATGCGAACACTAAAAGCGGAAGACTGCAAACCACCACTCATCCAGTGGCTGTGAGTAAACGGGTCGATATCATTCACAGCCATGAATCGACTGAAAACGCACGGCGCCACAAGGGCAGAAAGACTAAAGAGCACGGCGGCGGCTGTGCGAACTAAGGCAAGGATGTCATATGATGCTTCTGCTGCGAAGACTCATTTCTCGCCCCGGAAGAGCGTGCCGGGCCCGAAGTCCGTTTTTCTTTGCACTGGAGGCAAGTCTTGCGCGAATCGTCGTCTGACGTGAACTTAGGCAGTTGGCGGGGCTGGTTCTCATGCTGATCGACGATCACCCCCCACGTCTTCAATGCCTTGGAAGGCATTCTGGTGGTGTGTTTGAGCTATGTACTGCTGTAGGAGGAGTGAGGAGAGGGGTGTTGAAAGGACGTGTGAAAGGAGTGGGGCGACTTGCTTTGTGGGGGCTGCCCCCTGTGTAAAGAAGGATATATATACACCAAAAACAATGCACATGGAAGAGACACAAAAAGGCCCGCAGATATATATTCCGAACTGTTTTTATTGTTTTTTGCAAGGTGTACCCCATTTTTTTGGGGTGGTTAGCTCGTGACCACGGAAGGCGTTCTCGTCAGTTGGACCAGTGCGGACATCAAAAGGTACTGAGTGAAGACAACACCAACAACAACAGCATATGAATACGCCGTGCTACGATGATTGTCGCACGTTAGGGAAACGTACGGGCGTCCAACCCTACCACGCAGAGAGACATTATACCTCCGAGATGCCCGCTGTGGTGCATCACAACAGCAGCCTGACATATTAAGCACCCTGAGGGTACAACGGTGGGAACCCCGGCTCACGCAGCAAGATAAAAAAGCAATGTGATCTACACCGGACGAACCCTCTTTGTTCAACCGTCCCGTTCGGGTGGCGATACAGACAGGGCGGGCTCTCGTCGGCCACAGGAGGCGGAAGCTCCTCAAACTCGGGGAGGGGTCATGATCTGCGATTCCCCACCGAACCATGCTCGAGATTCCGCGAGATTTGTAATGTACCTCGAGATCGGCATTTCGAGCCGGGTCGGGCAAGGGGTGTAGTCGGATGAAACATGGATATTGGTCTGAGAAGCTGACGCTAAAGCTTCAGAACTTATATGCATATAGCCAACATTATGACGGGTCCCAGATCTCGTTGAGGACTCTGCCTCTGGGCGACGCCAGGAAAGGGCTAGTCAAGATGTAGCGCTTACGATGGACGTCCTCACCGGTGTGCGCGTGTCTGTGGGGGGACGTAGGGGATAATCATCCTCGACACTCGGGAAGGGCGGTAGCTTAGGCCGCACAGTGTTTTCCTAGGAAAATAATTTCTTGTTGAAGAGGTGTAGCCCGATGAGCGGGAGAGCTTTTTCCCGAAGAAACGAGGCTTCAGCCCACACACGGAACGCATGCGCACGGAAGAAAGATATTGTGTAGATCCGCAAAACCACACTCGTTTTTGTTGGCCAATGTAACCGTCGTTTAGTTTGGTACTGATTTCCGGCTGACATCTCGCACACACACACCCAAAAGCACACACAACGCGCGCCTCGTTGTTCGTCCAGGTGTACGACGTTACCTCGTACCTCCATCAGCACCCGGGCGGCGACGCAATACTCAGAAACGCCGGGGGGGATTCGACCGAGGGGATGCACGGCCCGCAACACCCGCCATCGGCTATGGAAATCCTCCAGACGCTTTACATCGGGCTGTTGGAAGCGTAGCTTATGGTTCGGGAGGAGGGGACGAGTTTTGATGCTGGGGAGGTTGCATAAGAACATTCTGCTGTGATAGTTGCTGTCGTGTTTGTTGTTTGCCCCTGGAAACGGGCGCGTCGATAGGGGGCATTTTGGGGGATTCCGTATACCCACGACGGCAGTCGCCCGTGTTGTTTAGCTGTTGAACAGTAGTGTGTCGTTTCCAACGCAGTCAGCATAGGTGTAATCTTTACCAGATGTTGTGTTCGCGCGTGATTGTCGAGCAGACGAACGAGGAGAACGCACAACGCGGAATGCTGGTGACAACACGGAAGGAATACTTGTGACACAATGACATGACAGTTGGTTTCATCATGTTCTTTCACTTTCGATCTTGGTGGTCGTCTGCATCCCGCTTGTGTCTGGGCAAGCGGATGATGCCCACATGTTCACGGGCAAGGAGCGCTAACGGCGCTTGCGAGTCCTTCATTGCGACACATGCGTCGTAAACTTTCCCACACAATCACAGTAGGTGTTCTCTCCAAGGGCGGGCCTGCTTCGAAAAGCAACCGTTGTCCAGCAAACCACCCCGTGTACTGCCGCCTGCGTTTCCGAAACTTTTAGAGCTCGTACTGCTATGCAAATGGGTCTTCGGTTTCTCGCTGCTCCATCCAGCTGGAAAACATGAGGAACAGCAATTGACGAGATGTGGTTTTCACAGGGTTATTGTTCTTTTAGCATCGTGCCACCTACAGCCACGGCAACGATCCGGGGCCATTCAGACAGGAGGAATTTCACCTACGGTGTATGTCTTCGCGAACACGCCGAGGAGGGGTAAAACACCTGCCCCCTTTCTGTTTCCTCCCCGTCAACAGCTTGCTCGAATGTTGTACACCACTCCCCACCAAGCGCTGTAAAAACGAGCGAGAGCAACGCCGACGCATGAACGCGAAACTGCTGGTGGGTTTCGAGGATACCCATGTCGCGTCACGGCGTGGGGGGTGGTACTCTCGAGGGCCTTTAGGGGTTTCAGTTTCTGTTGCGTAGAAGTGGCCGCTATATCGTGGGGACGATTTTAGTCACCTCCGCAATCAGACCAATACATGAAAGAGCTGTTCGCCCGCGCCATGTCGTGGGTAAGACTTTATGGTACCTTCGCATCAAGACCAATATATTGGAGCTGTTCGCCCATCACAATTCTCGCAGGTACATATCTCGCTGATCAGTCTTTCGCGCGGCAGCACTTGACTCTGCGTTTAAAACCACGCGCGAGAGTTCTTGTTGACGTGCGCACGGTAGCAAGGGGGGTGGGGGTGGCGCGTGAGGGAAGTGTTGCGCCGTTCTGATCGCAACAGAAATCGCGTTGTCCGACTTGTTTGTCAGCTGTCATTTTTTTCCTCGATTAGTACTCACCTCTTCTCGCTTCAAGAAACACCCGGTTGTCCCCAACAAGAAAGAGGGATAATTCACAACAGGTAACACTTTTGACGCATGAAACGCTACGAAAACAACAATAACGCCCCTTCTACACAGGCCCGCGGCAAGCGTGTTGCGGGAGGGAGAGCTGCCCCAAAAGAACCACCGAAGGGAAACAGAGCTCCTCCCCCAACCATTCCCCCTACGCACCAAAATGGAGGCATCCCACCCTTAAGTCGTCGCGACAGCGGCGATGCAGACAGGGAAAACAACAAAAAAACGGTACAACGTCTTGCATTTCCGCCAAACCCACCCTGCCCCCACTTCCGGGACGGTTCTCATCGTTCCGTTCCGGTTCAACCGTATCCCGGTCCGCGCACGGTCCAGGTTGGTTGGAACGTGTGTGAATGTTCACAGCCTAGTCCTCCTTGGCATCCTCAGCAAAGCGCTCGATGTTGCCCGCGTCCGCCGGCACAAGCGCCGACTTGACGCTGTCGTCATCCGCCTTCTTGTTGCCCAAGAAAGACAAGAAGATGTTGTACCCGATCTGCTCGTACGTTGGTTGCAGTTCGTCATTTCCGGCAGTCGCCGATGTGTTCAGTAGGCAGAGTAGCGCAGGGTGAGGGGGGGTTAGAACGAATTGACTGGGAGCTCATTAACACTAAAAATCATTGCAGCAAGTCTTCTTCGACTACAAAGCGAGTGGAGGCCGAACACTCCACCGTAAACACGTTGAGCGGGAGAAATATACAAACAAAAGGAGCTTGCCTGGATAGTGTTGATGTAGAGCAACCGCTGCGACGTGGGCACGAACTTAAAGTTGATGGTGTGCGCGGGGATCCACACCGTCCAGGACCCCATGACCGCGGTGGCCAGGTCGTTCTTGATCTTCTTCTGGATGTCGTCGACCGACTTGCCCTCCGCCAGCCCCAGGTAGGTGAAGAACATCACACCGAAGATGGGGTTCCAGATGGTCTGTTGGGCGTTTTCCGGGTTGTTTTCGTGGGTTCCGTAACGTGCGGGGAACCAACCGGAAAGGCAAGATGGACGAATCGCGACAAGCGGCAAGTGGGAGGGGGGGGAAGGGGGAACTCATGTAAACGCATGCCGTAGTAGTTAGGCCATAGACCTCATATCCCTACAATGCCGGGACGGAGCGATATGCCGGGTTCCGGTAGCTGTGGTGTATAACGCGGGGGATGATGGCATGTGCTCGTCGCGTGCAGAATGTGTTGCAAAACTAAAAATTGCGAGACCGCAGCAGGGGCTCGACGCTACCGCTCGTGGCGTTGGCAAGGCGTGGAAAGCATTCTCAGGACTTTTTCCAGGGGTTGTGTCGAGCATCTTGTCTGGCCGGCGGTGTGCTGCCATTCGAGCCGCTCGCTGCGAGTGAAGGGGCAAGGGAGTGATCGCGAACTCTACGTGAATCAGTAGTTCTACTAGAACGAGGAAGGTTCTGAACAAGGCCACAAGCAACTTCTAGCGCTCGCGGCTGGGACGGGGTCGACGGGG